GCTGTTATCATTAAACATTCTGGCCAAGATTAAGTTCTTTGAAGTGTTCTGCAAAATCTAAGGTGAGGCTAAGACCATTATTTGCCAATCTCTATCAGCAATCCAATACTAGTGACTGGTTCCACTGATGGGCAAACCCCTAGAGATGGCTCAATAATAAAAGAAAATAAGGGTTAGCAGATTCCCTTGAGGTAAATCCTGGTGCATTACTGATGTGTCTATCTTATCTGAAAAGTTTCTAGGTAACTCTTGTGGGCTCACAGACTTATCACAATGATATCCTGCAAAAATGAGAGAACAATTTAATTCTAGAGAACCCAAGAAATCCTATTTTAAAAGTTCTATGCACTGAATAAAACTCTGGCCATGCCCTTGAATCTACTTACTTTTCAACGTAAACAATTTCTTAAACTGTTTTAAAATGGGAAAAAATGATATCATAGTTTATTATAAAACTGCCCTTTTTGGCTAAAAACAAAGCTAGGAACTACACACAGAATCTGTAGACATAGGCCGAAAGTGGACAGTTCATAAAATTTGACAGGTAAAGAGATCTTACCTTTCTTTCCTTCTCCTACCAAAGCAAAAACACCTAAGGCACTCAAACCTGTAGCTCTAATAAGAGTTGATGATCAAAACTTTTGAAGAGCAATGGGAATTCTTTAAGAGAAAATGTTTGTAAGTGTAAAAATCAAACCTAACTGCTATATAAACAAACAGGTTAACTAAAATAAGCACCTGATGTCTTCACTGATTCTACCAAGCGCTTTACGGCTTGCATTAACCATGAAAATTTACACAAGGCTTTGCACGTGATTCAACTCTGGACACAGAACTCATTGAGATACGTTAATGTCCTAAAACACCCCTTTCACCACATAAACCCTGAATAGGCTTAAAACAAGCACAGCCTGTGGGTAACTCTGTAGAATTTGGAGCTAAGTTTTGTCTCCACCAAGTTCAGCCAGCCAGAGAGCAACAAATCAAAGTTCCACACTGCACCTGCAAGACTTAGGTATGCTCCAAGACAAATATTTGCAATTTTTTCATCCCAAATCTGCACAAACGAAAGTATGCAGATCGCAGTGCCAGACTTCTAAATCTTGTAAGCCAAAAAGATCTGTAGTTATTCTGCCCCATCACCCGTGTTCTACCATTTATTGAGTCTTTTAATATGTACATGTGCCAGGAACTGTGCTAGAAGCTTGGATACATTACCTCTAATTCTCATAACAAATCTCAGTCTGCTGATGAGGAAACTGAGGCCAGGCAGGTCAGGGTGACTTGCCCAATGCCATAAAGCTAATGTATGGTGGAGCTGAGATTCAAACCCAGTTCTGCCTGGCTCCAAAGGAGCATCTATCTCCCTGATCCTCCTTCAGCTAAAGTCACTAACTGCAACACCAGTTAACCCCTAGCAAAGTAAATTCAAGTGCTAACTGTCTGAAACAATGACGATAGCTGAAAAAAATATCATACTTCAAACCGTAGCACAAGACCCAAGAATTCCCAGTGAGGAAATACAGTCACCTCCTTTAGGATAAGTAGTTCCAAAGGCTATGATTCAAAATACAAGAGATCCACAGGTTGTTTTTGTTGTTGCTGCTGTTGGCTCTCTCGACTGACTTTTTAGAACAAGGGAAATGAAACTCAAAGAGTATCTTCACATTTTGGTGAAATTATCTAAAGCCCTTGAGAGAAGGGCTTTTTTTAACAGTTCACTTTTACAGTTTACAATTCACTTCTTCAACAGGCTTCAGACATGCAGAAACCAAAATCACATCGGCAGCATTACTAATCAACTTTTTTGCTACAGACTTGAAAAAGTATTGTCTTACCACACTACGAGATTACTTCCCATACTCAGAGAAGAAATGGAAATAGCTCTGGGTGTCGAATCAGATCTTGAGGCCCCAGCTGCAGAAAGTAGGTGCTGTTTCCCCTGAGCAGGAGCTGCAGATCTGAAACCTCCTAAGGGAAGGGTGTCTGAAGAAGAGTGTTGAGGAAACTAAAGCAAGCTGTTTGTATTAATGAGTGAGTTGCTGGCACCACTACTCCGTAAGTGTTCCACTGCTATGCCATTGTTTTCCAGCTTCCAAGCTCTGAATCTGGCAGAGAGAATACTGTTCTCACAGCCATACGTGTTATATGATCAGCTGCTCTGTGGTGTGTGGGTGTTTAACTAGGTAAGTGACTGGTTGGAAGAGGTTCTGCAATATTAAAAATCAAGAAAGCACCCTGTCCCGAGATTTTAATGATCTGTCACTATACTATGCTGACAAAGAAAAGTGACATATTTGCAACTTTAAAATGGTTTGGGTTTAGGATAGGCAAATAATTTCCGACAGTAAAACTTCAGACATGACCTGAACAAAAAAATATAACCTGTAATATAAGCCACTTCAAGCATGTTTATTAGATAATAAAAAAATGCAATATATGTAATCTCAGCATGCTTCCAAACTTCTTAGGGTACACTGCATAATTATTAGAATAAATACTATTCTTCAGGTGTGTGGAAGATTCCAAGAGTCCAAGGCTCCCTTGCCTCCCCAAAAGCTGTTAATACCATGAATTCCTTAGCCTCTCAAAACCCTCAAAACGCAAAAAATACGAATGTCTCAAAGGATTAAGTGAAAAATAGAACTGTAAGCTCCTGGGGAGCTGGGGACTGTACTTCTCAAATATTACTGCCCATCAAAACACAATCACAAGCTAAAATAAATGTCTCTTGATTAAAATATGATCAAAAGGCAGAGTCTGGGTGCAGAGTGATTTAAAGAAGAGTAGATGATAGTTAGCCCCTGCTTAATGATAGAATGGTGCAACGTTCATTCCTAGCTCTAAATTTTAAATATGGAGACTGAACTCCCTAATTACAATTAAAATCCTTCCATTAAAACAAAATTTAAAAGTGGATGATTCTGATGGTAATGTTACCTGAATAAAGACATGAAATCATATTTAATAAAGTTGAAAAAACTTCACTGAGCAGGTGCTTTACTATGGGAATGATAAAGCCTTCCTTTAAGAGATCAGATCGACCTCAATCGATACATAAAGATTCCAGATAGGCATCATACAACAGACCACTGGCCTTGCTGTTGAAATTTGCTACCTTTAAAACATAGTGAAAGGAACATACATTATCAACTGGTCAAATTTAAACAAATTTTGACTCCCGTTTTAACTTTTTCTGAAACTCTCACATATATCTCCTTTTTTACAGGAGGATTACAGGGAAATGATAAAAATATCTAACTCACTATAATCAAAACACAAGGATACATATATAATCTGTTGCTTATTGCTCAGGACCAAAGTAATGCTAATCCCTAAGGAAAAAAAAAAAAGCAAAACACAAAACTCAAGTTCCTTTCACTTTTGCAGAATATAGATCTTAACCTGAGGTCCCAGGATCAGCTTCAAAATGACTGTAATTACATGCAAAATTATGTGTGTCTATTTCACCGAGAAGAGGGCCCTAAAGGATTCGATGACCCCAAAGAAAGGTCAAGAGCCACTGAAGCAGGCATTTGCAAATTTACTAAAACTCAGCAGTGGACATTTTAAACAAAATTATACTAAAGATAGTATCTATCTGAATACATGTGCACAGTCCTGATACAAACAACCAAGCTGCCTGCCAGCTCTGAGATTTACAGTGCAGCTCACCACTCTCAAATCAGCTTTACATGGGAACATTACCTGCATTCAGCACACACACGCGCACGCACACGCACACGCACGCACACACACACAAGCCAGCCACAGCAGCTCTTCATTCCCTAAACATACACGCTGTCAACAAAGCATATGCTAGTTGCCATTCCCAGAACAATACCGGCCCAACCATCTCTGGAAAAAAACACACATTTTCCCCAACATATTACCCTATTTATTTACTAGCCCTGACGATAGATACTAAACATTACAACAAAAATAAAAGGAATTCCCACAGACCATATGTATCTAATTAACTGGAAAAATGCATCACTCAGGTAGGTATCACTGTGGGTCCACGGGAGATGCATAATAAGGGAAACACTATAATAATGAAGCTTGAACATGGGGACAATCAAAGACAGACTCACGCAGGAATATCCCGAGAACATGGTTGTGGAAAGCCCCCTTCTCCAAAGGCAAAAGCACACTCCTTTGATTGGCACAACCATTCCTGACAATGGATCGCGATGACAGGGGCTGCTCAGCAATCAGGAAGTGAGTGTGTGTGTGTGTGTGTGTGTGTGTGTGTGTGTGTGGTGGGGGAGGGATGTACTAGATGTGATCAAATACTGGCCCTCTTCAAAGAGCATATGGGATCTTAAATCGTAAAGACAGACTTTGAGGGTGAGGCAGGGACATTTATCATTTCTACAGGAGGCATCCTTCGACAATGAACATGTTATGTGCCGATGTAAAGGGGGTGCCACTACCTTTAGTGTCTCCCATCTGAGAATCTTAAGTAGAGCCTGATTGGAGGGGAGGAGGAGGTGGGGGTGGAGAAAGGTCTGCATTACCCTTGGGGGTGAGTGTTGGGCGGCTGTACACTAGATGCATTTTATCTTGGGCAGCACAATACTCCCGGGGGTTGGAGGTTTGGGCGCAACCGCAGGGCGGGGGAGGCAGTGGGTGCAAGCCACCAGCTGCAGGGCAGGAGAATGCTCGCAGGAGGACCGGTGCAAACCTCCCCTTGGCCCGCTAACCCATGCAGCTGCAGCCTTCCCTCGGGCCTCGGAGCGAGCGGACTCTGCAAAACTGGAGCTCGGCCCGGGTTCGGGAGGGAGAGGGCGAAGGGGCAAAAGTGGGCACCACCGGCCCAAGCGCGGCACAGCGCCCCGGGCCTCCCAGCCAGATGGGGGCTGCTCCGGCCTAGTGCACGCAGCTGCCTCGGCGAAGGGCTAACCTGGTGCCCAGAGCCCCGGCCGGCCAGGCGGGCAGCTGCAAGGGGCGCAGCCGGAACTGTGGCTTGTGCTTGGGGGGTAGGGGCCCCTACTCACCCGGGCCGGCCGCCTCCGCCTCCGCCGCCCCGACCGCCGCCTCGGCGGTCCATCCTGCGGCGGGGGGCCTGTAGCCGCGGCGCTCGAGTAACAACCGCCGGCCGGGCCGGCCCCTCCCCCCCGCCCAACGTCTGTCCACAGGGCCGCTGGGCAGACCCGGCCTCGGCCGCCGCCGCCGCCGCCGCCGCAGCGATACGTGGCCGCCGCTCCGACGTCTCGCGACTCCCTTCCGAGCGCGCGAGGCCGAGCGGGGCCCGCGGGGCGGGCGGCGCGCGGGGAGGGAGGTAGGGGAGGGGGTGTGCTCGTGTGGATGTGTGTGCGGAGAGGGGGGCAGGGAGGGAGAGCGGCGGCGAGAGCGCGCGCGCGCGCCCGCGGCCCCTTCCCTCGCCGGCCCCCCCGCCTAACAGGGATCCCGACACCTCCCTCCGCCCGCCCCCCTGGCATCCCGGCCGCTGGGCGCGGCGGCGCGCATGCGCAGCCCCTGGGGCCGGCCCTAGTGCACCTTTTCTCCCTCCTGCCACATTGTGAGCGCTCCGCCGCCCAGATAACTGCCGACTCCCGCTCCACCCCCGCCCTCCCCCATTCCGCCCACTCCCGAGCGCCCAGGTAAAGGCGTGGACTGCGCGTGCGCACCGCTCTCCCTGGGTCTGGGGGCGTGGTTGCTGAAAGGAAGCCAAAACGTAGAGTAGGAGGGAGTGTGGGGCAGGGGGTGTGGGATTACACGAAATTGGGGGCGAGTTAGGATTAGGCAAAGGTAAAGTGAAGCAGGGGCCAAAGTAGAAAAGTAGGCCCAAGTGAGATTTAGAAGTAAAAGAGCCTTTGGTTGATGAAATCAAGTAAAAAGAAAAATCCTGACTGTGGCCTCCTGGTTACAGGAGTGCAGTGTGAGTGACAGGACAGAAATAAAGGAGGCAAAATATAAGCAGTGACATTGGCAAGATGAATGAGATAGCTAATAAAAACTGGAGAAACAGAGATTATCAGAGTGGTCAGAAAAACAAATTGAGAGCCGCGTTGGTTCTGTGGCCAGGAATAGGGAAGGGGATGTGTGTGCTTGAGCCATAGAGCTGCTGCAAGGAAGCAGGCCTCCGCTGTAAGTATTACAGCATTATGACTAATTAGCTATTAATCATTAATATAATTAATGGTACTGTTAGCTAACAAGGTAGCATTTATCCGAGTTCAGAGCCAAGAGAGGGTCTCCATAACTGAAAGTGCTTCGAGTACAGAGAGGGAAAATGAATGAGGCAAGGTGAATTAAGGTGGAGAAGACCCAAGACAGTAACTTGGACGATTTGGATGACCTTTTCCCACCATAAACCAAACTTCCCTGATGTTTTCCAAATCTTATCCTAATTGCAACTCATTATCCTCCTTCCATTATTAAAAGCACACTTAGCAAATGTTTCTGCACTAAGGCTGACCTCCCTACACATTTTTAATACAGATGCCTGTTGCTTCTCTCCAAAATAGCACCCCCCACACACACACACACACACCACTACCACTACAAATTCTTGTAGAATGCAAAATGACCTGAGTCTAGAACAAGGTTAGGGAAGAGATTGCAACTTTATAAATAAAGGGGTTCAAGGGCTAACTCTGTCCTTGTTCCCTTCCAAAAACAGACACTTGGTTTTTATTACACTTGGACTCCAGACTCCAGGGATCATAATTTGACAACTTTGGGTCATGTTCTTCAATAGAGGATAAACACTAAAAATGATATATTTCAGCAGGTAGAGAAAATCTTCAGGCAAAACAGGAGGAAATAAGCATTAGTAGTAGAAGGAAAGACTTAGATCTAATGCAAGAAAGAACTTGGCATCGGTGGGGACTGGTGAGCCCAGAACACCTGACTTAGATGTCTAGCTTTGCCTTCTAGGACACTTGATCCTTTCTACCCCCACCCCCACCCCGCCCTCTGCCTGTCAGGGCTATCCTGCTTGGAAGAGGGGTGTGCAGAGTGATGGCTAAAGAAGCAAGGTGACCTTCCAGTCTCTATGAGTCTCTACCCACACAGGCCAACACTCTGAAGGGCTCCTAGTAATTAGAATAGTAATATTCTTACCTTCCATTTGAGGAGTGCTTTATGGTTTTTTTCAGGGAGGTTAAGTCCATTATCTCATCAGATCTTCCAGCAACCCTGTGAGGCAGGCAGGTATTATTCCCAATGAAGGAAATTCAGGCCAAAGAATGTTTAATAGCTCAGGGAAAGTCACCCAGCCCAGTAAACAATGGAGCCAGAACAAGACCTGGGTTTGTGACTTCAAGTGTACTGTTCTTTCAGAGGGTTAGAGAGGCCCCTTCTGAAAAACTTCTACATATCCCTGTGGAGTAAAAACAGGTAGCCTTGGCATGTGATGGAGAATAATTATAATATTCAGTTCTATATCCACATCTCCTTTATTTATTACAATTTTTCCCCCTTCTTTCTCTCTCCAGGACCCTGGGACTTGCCCCTGTGTATCTGAAGCCTTGGTGACTGATATTTTAGAAGGCCTCCGGCCTCAGGGCCAGCAAGGAGATCCCAGTTCCTCTGCACTCTCTTAACTCCTCCCCTTCACAAACCCCCCAAAAGAAGGGGGCTGCCCACCAGTGTCTACCCTCAACACGTCAGAAGAAGAGGGCAATTGCTCTTAGTCAGACTGCTAGTTTCAGTGCCTCCCTTCGTCAGCGGCTAACACTGCAGCTTAGCAGTCATGGCTGGCAACATGTAGCACCCACACCTGGCATTATTGGACCATCAGGCTTCTGTCATCCTGGTTTCCTGGTCTTGGATCAAGTTCTTCACTAACGCTCTCATGAAGGCAGTGGGCAGAAACCAGCAGAACCCATTTTTTAAATTAAAAAGTTGGAGTAGGGCCGGCTGAGTGGCGCGATGGTTAAGAGGTGGCTTGGGACGCCAGAGGGTCCCTGTTCGGATCCCACATATGAGGGCCAGTGACACTGCCCTCTACAGCTAAGATGCTGAACAACAGCTCAACCTGGAGCTGGGCTGCTGTGAGTCGCCGGCGACGGCGTAGGCTGCAGCCCCTGTGGCAGTGGGTTGCCATGGGCTACCGTGTGTAGCCAGCAGCTAGCGTGAGTGGCCAGCAGCCACAGTGAGCGGCCGTGCAGAAGCCGGTGACCGATCTGCCTCGCCCGGGAAGAGCGCAATGATGGTGCCAACTTGGGCCAGTGAAGCAACATCCTCCACAACTAGACTGAAGAACAAGAGGACAGCAACTTGTCTGTTCCCCTTCCCCCAATTCCCCAGCACTGTTCCCATCTCCCCAACTCCCCAATAAAAATCTTAAAAGAAAAAAGTTGGAGTAAAAAGTTCTATACACTTTGACTGTTCTGACAACCTTCAAGATTTAATTTAAACAGCAGCAGAGCTCTCTGGTTTCTGTAAGGTGAGCCAGATGGTCCGGTACAAGCTCCCTGTTCACTGCATTTCCTTGCTTCCCCAGTTTCCAGACATGTACCCCTAGTCAGTTACAGTTTTTTTACCACCTGTAGGGGCAGTGGCTGTGGCACTCTGCCCACCCATTAATTAACGTCCTACCTTACCAGACGTGGAGCCAGAGCCCTGGTCATGGTCTCCTAGGCGCTCATACTTCAGTGCTTTGACCTTTGCTCAATCACTTCACCTTTTAAGCTTTGTAAAAAGAGGGGATTATATGGCTCTTAGAGTCTCCCAGATCTGATACCCAGGATTCTACAGTAGAAAGCTGACCGTGTTCATTAATACCTTGTAATTCCATTCCTTTCCTAAGAATTACTATCCAGTTCTCATCGGTAAGCCCTTCTTCCAGGAAATGGCCCCTTTTACAGCATAAATAGTGCTGTCCTGGATTCCCCTCTTTCATTCACTTTTTCTCATATTTCTAAGTGCCAGTGTTTAGAGATAGCTCAGCAAACTGGACTTTTGGCTTTTCTGTCATGGGGCTTGGATATCTACATGCATGCATGCGTATATGTCCAGTTTTAAAGGGATATGGGCTGTGGACACCTTCACTCTGTGCCCCCTCACCTCCCACCACCCCTACTTGAATTTTAGTGAAAAGTTACAAATAAATGCCAGGAATGCCCTAGAAGGAAAAAAGAGGATGCACTATAAGGCCAGCTATGTGATTGCAGCTGTTTCGCCATGGGGATAGAGATTAGGGAGGCTGCTGGGATAGCCAGTGTCCCTTGGGTTTCAAGCTTGGTTTTAGCTATAGCATGCCCTGGGACCATCATTTGGTTCACAGTTCCCTACAGCTGTGGTCTCTGTACATCAGCTTCTCAGTTTGAAGCATCTCAGAATTTGGATTTTGATTACTCTTGTGCATTTTACATATAATTTTTTTAAAACCATATATATGGGATGATTTCTACAAATCTTCCCTTTGCATTGCATCATTTAATCCTTCCCTCAACTCTGGGAGATAGGAGGGGCAGAAAATGTTCCCACTGTTTGGTTTTTTTTTAAACAGTGAATAAAAATGAGGTCTGAATTTTTAAGGGCCAGAACTAAAACCTGGGTCACCAGGGTCCAAGTCCAGGACTTCTGTGTGACACCGTACTACAGCCCTTACTTAGCTGGACACCATACAAACCAAATCGAACAGATGTGGTCTCTGCTCTCTGGAAGTTTGGACTCAAATGAACAGCCACGATTTCAGCAAACATAAAAGGACAAAGTGAATCATAGTCAACTCACGCCAATAAATAAATGAGTTAAATAGATAAGGAAATCCATGTTGACCTGGTCTACTAATGTTTTTTGTTTCCAGTTGGGTAGAGAGGACAATATTAATGAGGCTAATGTTTTAGGCCAGTCCCATCTCTGCCTACTTGCTTTACACATGGAAAAATATTTGTAGCCGCACTGCACGCTGTCTCCTCTTTATTTTGAACATTCTATCAACTTTCCTGAAGCATCTACCAAGTGTCACACAAGGTGGGAATCAAGGACCTTAAGAAATCATCTCTGCCCTCAAGCAGCACCTTCAACCATTTTCTGAATTCAAACCACTGGGAAAGCATCAGTTAATCCTGCATATACCATCTCTATCGATGGAAAATAGGACAGATGAACTCAGTCCCCGTCCCATTGTTAGAGGGCCTGAGATCCATCTTTATCCATACAAGTTAGGACAGTGGGGAGGTGGATTTTGGAATTTGAGGGACATTGGTACTAGTGTGGTGAGGCCACCACACCACCCCCAACAGTTTAGCTTCCTAGATATGTAAGCAAAGGCAGAGAGGAACCTTGGGCTTAGAGAGTGTGGGCAGCGGAGAGCAGGGACCCAGCACCCAGCAGGAGAACATCCTCTTATCTCTAAGCGGACAGTTGCAGCCCAGTTCCTACCTTGGGGGGCTCTACCTCAAGGTCTGTCTACAGCAGAGTGCTCT